AACTTCTATTCGACGAAAGGAGACTGCGACCACACAAAAGGCCACACCATCTTGGTCTTTATACCTTCGAATAAATAATATAGTTTAAATACTACTGATGATAACAAGTCATACATTAATAACTCAAAAATCAAATAGGCAATTAAGTCTAAATGCATTATGAGTATTAATATTGAGCCTTATTATCCTAATTTATTTCTATGAATTATAACAATTTTGCTTTAGTATTTAAAGCAATGATGATCAAACCACATCAGAAGAATTAATAAGACTTGATTTGCCCTTCTGAATTTCTCTACACTATGCGTTTTTATCCAGAATGGACTGCGCTTTCGATTTCATCAGCATTCAAGATAAACTTGAACAATGGATGTGGGCATTAGGTAAGCATGTTAGCCTAAGAGCTACCGAACCTGGAAGCCACTAGTATTAAATGCCTTATTTGACATTCAAGACAGTAGAGACTCCAACGATCTCACAGATTAATTGGGGAATTCTGTATTTTTAGATATATGAAGATTTGCAATTAACATTATCATGCTACTTAACAACTGTTAGTAGTCGTTTTGGCCACAACAAGCGATTTGATACCCGTAGTCTGCCTATTGGTGCTTTCCAGACCATATTGAAATGGTGCAACTAATAAAGGTGAATAAGCAAAAGGCTTTATGAGTGGTGAGGATTTTATTGCGTATTATCGTTAAATGAGATGTATTCACCCTATTTAGTTTAAGGTGATGAAGGACTGGCAGTAGAATTATCCCACAATAATATGAGTTGAGCTGACGTTTCCATTAAATTTAACAGAGCCTTGCTTTCCCAAAATTTGTTCTCATCCAGGGTGTATTGCAGTACGATCAAGGGTTCGATATACTGGTCCCCAAACTGTGCTGATATACGGAAAATAAGTAGCGTAATCGATTCTGATAGCAAAAATACGTTTGCCTTATCGACAATCTCACCAAATATTGTGATATGGGATAAGGAATGGCCTTCCTTGATATTTACATCTGCCCCGTGACCCAAAGGCACTCATGACAATGTGGTATGTGACAAACTCAGATGCTGCACTGTCACGGTTCGAATCCCGCTGGAGGTGTTAACAAGACCTATGCGAGGTCAAAACTGCAGTCCATCCTGGATGATAACAAATTTTTGGAAATCAAGGCTATGTGGAATTAAATGGAAACGTCAGCTCTATTCATATCATTGTGGGATAATTCTACTAACTGTTTTTCATCACCTTAAACGAAGTGGTACGATACATCTCATATAATTGATATACCGGTAGTCTTGAAACACTGCTGATGTATGATAAATAGTATCGTTTATCCAACTTTACATAAAAAGGATTGCTTGAACGTAAATATTTCATAAGGTGGCTTTTGAGACAACCAGTAAATCTGATATAAGCACTGTATTCACCATATTTGGTTTAAGGTGCTTCCCTAAACCTATGCTCATCCTTTTGGACAGCAAGACATTATGGCATTGACTGGAAACATGAGAACCACTCGTGATTGTGGAAAAATTCGACTATAATCATAATAGCATAATAAAAGCTCTTATCTCATAACTTTATGCTAATAAAAATATTTATTTTATAATGTTGACTTATAACAGAATATATATTGCCGATCAGGCCTTACTTCTCAGAAGCGTGTGACTGGATGATATGCTAGAATAAAAGACTTATCAGAACTATACAAGGACTCTATCAGAGGTTGACATTTCAACAGTTTCTTTCAAGTTAGATTTAAAGAAGAGGAGTAGAGTAGGAGAGAAAG